CATCAAAGAGACAAGTGAAGTCAATCATTCCAACAATGTTCTGCCAAAAACGGTTACACTATCTCTGTGTCCTGGCTTATCTATCTACTCTTTACCCTCCTATCAAATTCCCGCCTTATCACAACTTCTAACTTGTCTACATTCCACTAGTCAAAATGTGTGCCTTTTTTGGCAAATCTGGTATTGATAATCTCCACCAGGATATCACCTAGAAGGCTTCTGCCATTTTTAAATAGAAAAATTAAGTCCTTTTTCCAGGAACACAGTTGTTTCAGGATTGAGAGGAATTTATGTTGAGTTTACTACATTCTTCCGCATACGACCAAATATATGCGTCCACAGTTTGCTCAGGTAACACGGTTTTATTAAAGGAGACGACTCATGAAGGTAATACATGATATCTGCAAGCATTGGAATAATATCCTAGGCCCTCTGTTCGGTGAGGCGGCAGTGTACGTGCTTCTATGGCCTTGAGAAATAGCACCTGGAGTGAAACGCGCACTGGAACTGGAACCGAATGAAATATGTCAACCAGAAATATAAGGAACGGATTTACAGGACCATGAGGGGATCCGGATTGTAGGCCCGAGTCGGATTAGCCGATCGAAACATAGGGGGTCTGGGTGAATTACATGTGTAATGAGACCACACTATATTTGCCACAAGTTGGCACACATGTATCGAGTGTAATGTAAACAAGTGAGAAGTTGTGATAGGGTGGGAGTTTGATAAGAGGGTAAAGAGTAAATAGATAGGCCAGGACAGAAAGAGGAGTGATATTGTAACCGTTTTCTGCAGAACGTTTGTTGAAGGATTGAGTTCACTTGTCTCTTTAACGAGTTCGTAGCTTGGTGAGGAGAATGGCAGTACTCACTGATGATGCCGACTACGATTCTGACGAAACTTTTAAGAATCAACCAAGTCCACTATCTGATGCTGGGAATTATGATAATTACTATTACAGAGGACTTCGGACTAGGTGCGTTCTACTAAGTCGTCCTGACAACAAGACCTTGTTGTCACAACGAGGTCAATCCACTGTTTTTTTATTTATAACTTTTCATAATCATTATTTGTCAATTCGTTAGTCATTTTTATCGAGATAAGTATTTTGCTATGCCTACATTTTGCTATCGATTCTCTGTTTTGTTACCCATAGTTGGCTTCAAGCATAAATCCTGCCCCAGAGGTGATAAAATTCCTTGTCAAGCATTCACATATTTGGTTTTGCCTCTTAGGAGCGGCAAACTCTTTGGGATCAGACTTACATCTTCAAGAAGTATGCCTTAAGCAGGCAAAGCAGAGCTGCAAGGGCTCAACTCAAAGAAGCTTTGATATAATCCAAAAATTGAGGTATTTTCATTTAATATTTTTTCTATTAAGATTATCAAACACATTTGCATATCTCGTGGTTCCATTCAATAGCATATTTTTTCCCATTGAAGCTTGCTAAACATGGAGATTTTTACCTGTCTTG